CAGCGCCTCCTTGTCGTTACTGAAAATTCAGGTTTAACCCTAAGGGCTGGGACCGGTTTTACGGTTGAGGACACTGAGGCTCAGAGGGGCAGGCAGGCAGTGGCCCAGGCTGCTGTCTGCCCGCGAGACCCCCGGCCAGGGTCTCCGGCAGCGGCCACCTTCGGCTGCCCTGGGCTTGCCCCAGGGGGCTAGGAGTAGACTGCCCTGTCTGCCCGACGCGGGAGGGTTAAGGCCCGCTGGTTTCTTTTCAAACTGCAGAGGATGGACGGGCCAGATCGGGAAATCCTGCCCCTGCAGCCACTGGCTGGGCGTATGCCGGCTGGTGGGCAGGCAGAGCCACGCTGCTGGGCGGGGTCAGTCCCAATGGGTCTAGGGCTAGCCTAAGGCTCCTACTGTGTGTAGGCGAGCCCTTCACGGGGAAAGGGACTCATGAACCAACTCTAAGGAACAAAGCGCCAGGAGCTAGGTAATATCCTCATTCTAGGAGGGGAGACACCCTACTGTGTGCCAGGGCTACAGGTGCCAAACTGCTCACACACCCAGCACCTTACTAGCAGTGGTACCATTGTCATCAAAACCCCCTGTACCCCAAAGTACTCTGCCTCCCCCACCCATCTGGACCCCAGAGGGAGGGAGGTAGCCAGTAATAGTGATAGCTGACACATGGCACCTACTGTGTGCTGAGCCTTGTCTTGGTGGTGGAAACCTAGGGCTGCGGTGCTGAGGGGTGGGGCTAGGGAAGATGGATCTAGGGGAAGAGAAGGAGGTGAAGGAGGAGCTGGCTGGGGAAGTGCTGAGGCTGAGGGTGCAGCCAGTGCACAGGCCGGGGAGATGGGAATGTGGCTGAGCAGGCTGGGGAGGCAGGAGTGGAGGGGAGAAGTGAGGATGAGGGCTAGAGAGACCCACCTGGCCAGAGGGTGGGCACAGGGCCTGAGGACCGTGTCCCCCTTGAGGGTATTGGGAGAGTCTAGGAGAGACTCAGCGCAGGGCAGGGGCATGGCCTGACAAATTCTCTGTGGCTGCAGGGGATGGGTGGGCAGGGGAGGAAATCAGGTGGTCTTAGGGCCGTGGGAAGGGGAGCAGGTTCTGGCTGTATTTTGAGGGGAACCCCCGCAGAGTGATGCTGGTGCAGTGGTGTGGGAGAGGGGCGGAGCCCAGGAATGACTCCCAGCTGTGAGGCCTAATGGAGGACTTGAGCCACCCAGGCAGGGGCAGGCAGTCAGCGGGGCTTCGGGGACACAGGTCAGGGGGTGGTACTAAAGTAATCCTCAGACACCAGATGTGTTGTTGTGTTACCCTTTATCGATTTGGGGAAACTGAGGCCAGGAAAGGAGAGGGAACTGTGCAATCCGCTGAGGTGCTGGGGTGTGACCCTTACCTGCCGAGCTGAAGCTGGGCCCTGCTGTTAGTCATCAGATGAGATGGTTATGCTCCATGGGCCTCAGCGGTAACTTACGGGGAACAGGACAATAGCAGTAGTCCCATTGACTAATATCAGCCCTAGCTAAGTGCCCTTGGGTGGTGGTGGTGGTGGGCAGGTCTGGAGAGAGACAGGGCAGAGTGCTCTATAATCACAGAGGGCATTCTGAGTCCAGAACCTGTGGCAGCAGAGTCCTTGTGGTGCAGTGGTGACATTTGGCTGCGATCAGCAAGGTCAGCAGTTCGAAACCACGAGCTACGCCATGAGAAACAGGCAGGGTGTTAAGGCAAGGAAACACACAGGGGCAGTCCTGAGTCAGCATAAATCTGATGGCAGGGAGGGCTTTTTATTTTATTCTGTGCTAAGGAGCCCTGGCTGTGTAGTGTTTCGGCACCTCAAGGTTAGTAGCTCAAAACCACCAGCCTCTCTTCGGGGAAAAAGATAAAGCGGCCCACAGGGGCAGGGCCGTTGAGTTGACCTTGACTCAATGGCAGTGAGTTGGTTTTGTGGCATGGTGTAGTAGGTGAGGTCCATCGCGACACTCCTGGGAGCCTCGGTGTCTCTACGGGAAGCCTCAGGGACAGGTTTGGACTGATTGTGGCCCCCGAGGTCATCTTTGTGTACAGAATTTGATGATCCCAGGCAGGCTAGACCCAGATTTTTTAGCCCAGCACAGCTTTCCCTGAGTCAGGGAGGCTTCCAGTAGTCACTGGCAGGCTGCAGCCTTGCTCCGGGTTGGGTCAACGGGAGCCATGCCCCTCTCACTCCCACGTGCCCTGGCTGTACTGAGTCTGGCAGTGGCACACTGAGGCTTCAGACTGGTCTGCCCAGATGGTTCCAAGCACAAGGGAACCTGCTGGTCTGCTCCCACCCTGACAGGGTGTCACAGGTCCAGGCTGGCCTTGAGCTGCCTGCTTGCCTCCCAACCTGTGGCCATCACACTGCACTCGCCTGCACTGGATGGGCCAGCAGGAGAGAGAGCCCCCAGGACCTGGGCTCCCGGTTGCATCAGCAGCTGGCTCTGGTCACACAACAGCTGCCTCAGCCACAGGAGCGGCAGCCCAAGTGCCTTCTCTGCTGCTGGCCAGGCCAGCCCCTTCCTTCTTACTGACCCCACAGCCTTGGCCCAGCTCCACGGGGTGGGGCCTGGCGGGACTCTGGGGCTGGATGAGAAAGGCTAGAGTTTAGAGCCAGGGACTAAGCCTGGACCGTCCCACCTTCCTTGGTCTTCTCTCGGCAGCCCTGGGTGACAGCGCTCAAAGTCCAGTGCCAGATTTGCCTTTCAGTGCGAGAAGTAGGCCCCACTCTCTCTCGCCTGATAGAAACACTCCATTAAAGCCTTTCTATGCTGCAGGCCAGGTTGAGGGCCCCTCGGGCACAGGAGGGGGCACAGGTGCTGCCTGTCAAGGTGGATGGTTGTCTGGGCCAAAGCTTCCAGTTAGGGGTTACGTGGGGTTACTCACTACCCAACACTTGGGAAAGTGGGCCGTGCTCGCTCTGCAGGCAGGAGCGCCGGCCCTGGCTTCTCAGAAACCAGATGTTTGCATGAGGGGACGGTAGGGACCACCTTAGCCTCCCTCTGAGGAGGAAATACAGAGTATTTTTATTCAGGCAGCAGTTGGTTGGATTCCTGGTGCTGCGCACACTACCTGGGTGTGCAGGCTCTTTATGGGCGGGTCGGAGTCAATGCTGACTCACAGCGGCCCCCCTTGTGGGTTTGACTGCTCAGATTAGAAAGCTCAGTCTTCTCCTGCCGGAGGTGCTGGTGGTTTCCAATTGGGGGGGGGGGGCATGTGGAATGCAGCCCTCAAGTGTAAACCACACCACCAGGTGTTATGTGAAAAGGTCTAGGCGGGCGTGATTAGGAGCTGGGTGTGCCAGGGAGCGGCAGAGGCGAGTCTGGACCTTGTGGGCATGCCCACTGGTCGGCTGGGGCCTGCTGAGGCTGAGATGACACCAAGTTTGTTGCTGAGCAGAGGGGCCTGGTGCAAGCCTCCCAGGGTTTTAAAAAATCCTGACTGGGGTGAAGGTTTCCAGAACAGTTGTTTCCCATTCAAGAGTTCATATTTGTTCCAGCTCACGGGTCCTCTGTGGGTCTAGGGGGTGAAGTCACTGAACCCCGGCCTCTGGGGAGGAAGGGCCTGAGGGCGCAGGGAAGAGGAGGGAGGTGGAACTGCAGAGAATGAGCGGTCTGGCCCCCTGGGGGTCAGTGCCGCTCTTTGTGGACCTGGGACAGGGGGAGCCAAGCAGGCACCCTCTCTGAGCTGGCCCACAGGTGAGGGGTATGGACGATACTAACAGGGTGTTTAGGCATCAGAAATTCAACTTCAATGCTGCCCCCCGCCAGGCCCCTCCCCATACACCCAAGCACGGTGCTCCACAGGGTTTTCAGGAAAGTAGATGGTCACACCTTCTTCCAAGGTAGCCCGGTGAAATGGGGGTTTCACAGTGCGTCAAGGTAGGAGTCACAGCTGTAACACGCTGCCAAGAACTGTGACTGGCTGTTGTCTGGACAATGAGGTCATTTCACTGGTGACTGACAATCAGAAGTGGGTTCTATAGAGGTGGACACCAAGCACTCTGGGCCCCTCCTGTGAAGGGGGCAGTGAAATGGTGCAATGGCTGTGGGGAGGTGGTGAGGGGGATTAAGGAAAAACAGGCAAGCATAGTTCCCGTGGGGAATCTGTTTCTACAGCAGATACAATGGCACACACTCCTGCTCCCTCCTGTGGCTCGGTTGGCAAGGTACGCCCCAGCCCCCCTCCCTCCCCGCTGGTGGCACAGGTGTGAACTCTGGGCCAGTGGGGACTAGGGTGCCCAATCCCCGCTCCATTAAGGAAGACACAGAAGCAAATACAGTGAACCCTCGCCACTTCG